CAAAGAGCAAAGTGAACCTGGAGCGCTGTGTGTTCACAGTGCAAAGGTTAAGTGAACTGCACTGCGGGCTTGAAGCGAACCAAACTCAGACCCCCGAGTTCTCTTGGAGTGTTCACATATGTGCAGAAAATGCTGAGTCACCGCTCTGAGTGCTGAAAAGGACCAAGTGTAAAAACACCCTAACACTCTCAGTTCTGATGCAACATGATGATGATTGAAAAGTCTTAAAGGGATAGTGCACCCAAAAATGAAAATTCAGCCATTATCTACTCACCCATATGAGGCTCTGGTGAAGTTTTAGAGTCCTCACATCCCTTGCAGAGATCGGTGGGGGGAGCAGCTAGCACACCTAATGGCAGACGGCGCCCCAGACTAACGTCCAAGAACACAAAATTTTAAGTATCTCCAGCATGCCCATCCGTAGTGTTCCGAGTGTGCTGCAGCCCCGACATAAAAAGTTGTTTGGAAAAACGTCATATGAACTCTGTTTTTAGCCTCACTGTAGCCTGTAGCTCTGACTGCTTCTCTGTGCTCACGTGTGCGCGCTCAGGGTGATCGGTGATGCACGGTCTCTGAAGAGCAGCAGTCTCGTTAGTACTGTTGTCCAGATTCTCAAGTGCAGGCATCGCCAATTCCCAGTCTGAGCAGCAAAGACTTTCCTCATCCGTTGGCACTGCTTTGCATCTGAAACATCTACACCACCAGGTTTCCAGTGCTCGACTCCGGTATTCTGTGGCTGGCTGATGCTCATGAGCTGCGGCGGCTGCTTCGTCCAGTAGCCTGAGTTCCGTCTGTATACTCAGGCTCAAACAAATACGGCTCAACAAAGAAATGCTGTTCCTCCTCAATTTCAAAGTCTTCAGACATGTTGGGCTGTCCTTTGCTAAAAGACCGTAGTGCAAATTATCTTTTAGCTCTGTGGTTACTGTTGTCTCTCCCTGTGGTGCACGTGTCACGTGATGTAAACACGGGTGAGCAAAGCTCATGCTTTCGCTGGTCTTGCGCAAGCGCACACACGTGAGCGCTGAGCACAGAGAAGCAGTCAGAGCTACAGGCTACAGTGAGGCTAAAAACAGAGTTCATATGACGTTCTTCCAAACAGCTTTTTATGTCGGGGCTTCAGCACACTTGGATCACTACGGATGAGTAGTATGGAGATATTTTGTGGATTCAATTTTGTGTTCTTGGACGTTTGAATCTGGGGCGCCGTCAGCCATTAGGTGTGCTAGCTGCTCCCCTCGCCGATCTCCGCAAGGGATGTGAGGACTCTAAAACTTCACCAGAGCGTTCCTTGGCATACGGGTGAGTAGATAATGGCTGAATTTTCATTTTTGGGTGCACTATCCCTTTAAGTGATAATAACAATCACAGTTATAATGTAAACCAGTTGAGAAGGAGAAGAAGTTATTACACTGCTTCTGTTTTTATTTTACTTTTGTTTTACCATGTATTCATGTCTGTGTGTGTGTGTGTGTGTAGAAATGATCAAAGCACAAAACTTCTCTGTCTCTGTCACTTCTTTAGATGGAGTCAGTTTTTTTAAGACCTTGTTTTGTAGTTGACCCTCAGTTAAAGTCTCTGATATAAAACTGTATATTAATTTATATGGTTGCCTTTATTCACTAATAGTAATAGCTGAGCATATCACCTGTTTCCTAGCAACACACTCCAATTTAACAGGTTGTATGACAGCTTCCTCGATGCCAAGCTGTGTTTTATATGAAACGTCCATTTACCAATCAAACTGAGCCTAAACGAAGCTGCTGCAGCTCTGCTGAGCAAAATGTTGTTTTATCTTCACAACCATTTTACAGATATGCTGTTCCTCCTGTTGTGACGCTGCCCTCGGACAAACTGAGCAAATCATGACTGAAATATATTAATGGATGGATTCATCACTCTTTGTCTTTGTGCACAAACACATTTTGGCCTTCACATTCAATGTGCCACATTCATTTTGCCAGGGCTCCAACAGGTCCTTGAAGTTCTTGAGAATTTGTAGATTTGAGGGGAAAAAAATCAAGGCTTTGATAGTTTTGGAAGTAGACATGAATTTGAGCGGGTCATTGAAAGTACTTGGATTTATCAGGGATTGCACAAGGTCCTTGAAGTGCTTAAATTTTGAGGATATTTTTTTAATACTGTAGAGACCCATTTTTCACCAAAGTGCTTAAAATTCCTTGAAATTCAAATTAACCCCACAACGCTGTTTTATATTTTGATCAAAGTTTTGTTCATGAAGTCATTGTCTATAGAATTGTCTATTGCTCAGTTTTTTCTTTCATGAATTGACCTCACCGTCTCAGCTGCAGCTCATTCTCCCTCTTCTTTAGAATCAGAATCAGAAAAGGATTTACTGACGAGTAGGTTTTCACTTCCTGTATGTTCACAGCAGAAGCTTCCAAAGAGGCAAAGTCTGTCGCGGACGCCCAAGAAGTACAACTGTCAAAAATATTTGTAGCAGCTTTGGTCGCTCTAGTCGCTCATCACGTGACTCATCAAACTTTTGATCTTGCTTGTCAATTTAAAGGAGCCACAAAGCGACTACTGGTTTGAAAGCAGCGTAGTTGCTGCTTGCTGTTGTCCAGTCACAAAGCTCATAGTTTGCAACAGAGAGTTATGTTTGGTCAATGAAAACAGAAAACGTATGTCATCCCATTCAAACCAAGCAAGGAAGACTTGCATGCTACGTCACAACATTAGCCTGCAGTTCTCTCCTCTGTTACTAACATTACACACTTTAACACTCACCAGACCAACCAACGACCTCCGTGACGCCGTCCCAAGACTCATTCTTTTTATTTTGGTCTCTGTAACCTAACAGTGACACATTATAAAGGGTTGAGTGGGCGCAAACGCAAGTAATCAACTTCTCGATATCCATTGTGGGAACAAGTGTGCTGTAGGAACCAAAGTTTCATGGCTTGTTCTCCGGGACCTGCTTCATCGAAGCACGTCAGCATTCTGATTGGTTGTCACCGAACCTCTTCAGAACTAAAGATGTACTGATACCTCTTTTTCCTTCCCGATACCAATTCCGATCCCTGAACCTTAGGTATTTGCTGATACTGAGTGACGATCCAATACCAGCGCGTAAATTACAAATGGATGGGATATGAATTGTTTTATGTTTCAACTCCTAAAACTCTGTGTAAAATATTAAGAAATAAATACATAATAGTAGAATGAATGCCATAAAACTTTTTATTATTATTATTATTATCTAGTGTTGACACAGATCAAGACACAGGTTACAGTGCAGCCACACAATTTGGCAAAAAAGACATTTTAAAGGCTACGGTAGAATGCTTTTTACCTGATACCGCATTTTAGGCAGTATCGGAGGCATTTCCGATACTGGTATCGGTTCAACTCTAGTCAGAACTCATTACCATAAAGTTAAACGAGTATTAACTCCCCTCCGGAGTGCCTAAGACGCATGGCTGACGACCAGGTCGCCCAAGTCACCAGGCTGTTATTGAAAATGAATGACTGGAAGCTCTGGTCGCTGTTGGTGTGAACGTACAGTTACACTTGCTTTGTTTTTTGGTGCATACATTAAACATACAATAATATATTAGAGTAATAAGAATAAGACAAATTAGTAAAATGAGTAAATTAGTAAAATGAAAAGTTTAATGAGTAATTAAATAAATAAATAAAAATCATGCCATAAAAAATAACAAATAATATAATAACAAATAACTACGTTCTGCTAACAGGGATGTTGGATCCAAACATACATGCAGAGACAGTGAGGTGCTTCTGATCACACACATTTTTCCAGTTCTCAATAAGAATATCCCTCTGGGTTTACAAACTGAAAGTCTTTATCTCCATTACATAAATATTATTAACCATGTCAATCCATTCAGTAATACTTGGTATTTCTTTTTTCAGACATTTCCTGGTTAGGGATTTCGAACATGCCACCAATAATATTCTTTTTCCCTCCAGTCGAGTTTCTCCAGTCTCATCAGGTACATCAGTTCAAAATTAAAAATGATTTTGGTTAAAAAACAGTTTCAAGGATGCCAACATGGAGCCCCTGAAAGATATGAAAATGACTTGCTTCTTTGTCCCTGCACGTTCACCAACAGTCTGTCAGGTTATAGTGAGTTTCCATGGTAACGCTGACACTCTCGCTCTGAAACTTTGTCTGGAGAGGATCTTCTCAAAGTGCGACAACATTTTGCATTACAGTATTGAACCCATCATCACTCTAATGCCATGCTAATGTTTTGTGAAGGATTTGATACATCACGCCTAAAAACAGTGTGGTAACCTTCACTGAGGAGCGAGACACTGATCACAGACGAGACACTGGTCATTAATTTATGTTTAATCAAAAACAAGTATGAAAATGAATTAGATGCTTTGAGTGAAAATAAAAAAAGCAGTGCTTGTGATATAGTGCTTAAAAGTCCTTGACTTTCGTTTTATATCTGTATGAACCTTGAATAATACGTTTTGTACGAGAATAGAAATTCAAGTTCTTTTGATATTTCCTGTCTTCACTGTAACATCGCACAACTGAGGCGTGTTCACACATTCAGGCCTCTCTGTCTCTTGTTGTCTCTGAGCTGCCTCTCATTATAAAAATTCTCAGTGTTACACCAGTAATTAACCTTGATCCTTGTCTTAACGTTTGCCTGTTGGGTCCTTGAATTTGTGGGAATTGGGCCGAGAGAGTCCTTGGTGGAGTCCTTGAATGAGATGATTAAGAAGTTGAGGGAACCCTGTTTCACATTCAGTTACATCTAAAGCAAACATTAAAACTGTTATTTGTTTAATCTGAGCTGTGATTTATTTCCCTAATATACCCGTAGCAGATTTTACTGGACTAATCCCTTCGCTCACACCGGCAGATGTTACCTATTAAAATAACACAGTGGGGTAGAACGACTCTTCAGGCAGACTGTGACACATGAAGGGAAACACCTCGAGTGCTTTTTAAGGCCTGTCAGTGTAAATCCATCTGTCTCTCTCTCTCCTCTCAGGACCTGACAGCCTTGGTAGCCAACGGCACGGTGACCAGCAAGCCTCCGGTCACCTTACGGCTGGTCATCCCGGCCAGTCAGTGCGGCTCCCTCATCGGCAAGGGCGGGTCAAAGATCAAGGAGATCAGAGAGGTGAGTGAGTGCACAGACAGCCAGTAGAATAATCCCCAGCAGAGGGAAGCCAATAATACAGTACATTATATTTGATGTACGTAGTCTTGTGGAGAAATGTTTAGAAATCATCACCAATTTAAAGACCCAGCAGACGGGAGGAATCATAAATGATCACTGATGAGTTCATATTTAGATACATCACAATGACAAATATTTCACTGGATGCTTTTCAGACTGTAGAGAAAATACATCAGTTTACAGGAGTTATCTCTCTGATATTTAAAACACATGGACTGAACAATAATAAGAATAGAAGCGCTGCGTGAAACCTTGAAGAGACCTTGAAACTTCACAAAGGCTGCCACTGTGTCACATGTGCTCCTTAAAGAACCACCCTCCACTAAAATATGTATTTTTCTTCAGTTAACATCTCCTAAACTCTCTGACCTTGACTATACTGACTTGTATCTGTGCAAAGTTTGTCACCAGAGAGGCATTTTCACATTCCTCTCCTGAAGGGAGGTATCTGTGCTCTTCCCTAAAATCTGAAGCCCCTCTTTCACAGACATTGTGTTATAGGGCTGCTACGAAGTCCCTTCTTTACACTGCCTTTGCATTTTTACACTGAACCAAACAACAGCATCCTGGAAGCAAAAGAGGCGTGACAGGCATGACACGTAACACAACAGCGTCGGCCTCTAACGTGACATATAACATCGCGTCTGCAGCACTTTATAAAGACTAACAATGGCATAACATGAGAATAATAATCATTTACTGTCACTGTTATATGGCGGCTGAGGAGCTCCCAGACCTCGTTGTTCTCTTAAATTGCAGACATTTTTGGTTGCTTTTCTTCTTCTTTGAGTTTGCTGCTACCAGCTGCTTTTTAAATCAGGCATAACACGCTATCAAAACTTGGCACCCATCCCATCGATGGTTCAAACATATGTTGGTCACTATTTTGAAAGCGAAGTGCTGTCTGTTATGTAAATTCTGGCAAAGACACCTGAAACCTCGAGCACAGAGTGGAGTTGTGAGTACAGAGAGCCAAGTTAGCATTAGCATTGTGAAAGTTTAGAACAAACACAGTAGAGTGTGCAGGTATTGGATGTTACCAGGACCCTGAACGTCCTTCCACTATCTACCAAAACCCCCACAGATATTATCTGCCAGTTAGCCTACAAGCTAACATACAACACAAACAAATAAAATATGAGTGATTGTTATTGGAGCCGATCAAGGCATTTTTTACTGATTGGGGTTGATTATATCAATCTATATATAGCCTGATCCAAACAAACAAGTCACAGAAACACTGATTTATTTATTTTTTAACATAAAACTGCTCTATTCAGTGTTTGTACTGTTTTAAATCAGCTGGTCTGTTTGTTGCTGAGAGGAATTCAGCTCCCTGTTAAAACCTCCTGAACAAACATCAATAATGAAGGAATTCTAACCAGGAGAAGTTTCAGCTGGTTGCGATCAAAGAGAGAACGCTAGATGCCACTAAATCCCCCTGAATCTGACACACTGCTCCTTTAAATGAATAAATTCCAGATGTATTTAAAGCTCAGAAGGATTTGACATGACGAGGGGCGGAGGCTTCAGGATGAACATCATAAGACTCAGAACTTAAACTCACTCTCATTTACTTTGACTGGCTGTCTAAACTTTGCATGTCTATTACAACATGATCTGACACGACCTTATGAATTATGAACAGAAAACCACAAATGTTCCTTCAGCTCATAATTCTTACTTCTTACTCACAGAGGCTCTCTCCCTCGGCCTTTAGCATCTGACAGAATGGTTTGCGCTCAGCTTGACTCAGCAGACTTTATGTTTTTAGGCAGGTAGAGAATCACTGCTCTGTATGTGTGTGTGTGTGCGCAGACGACAGGTGCCCAGGTGCAGGTGGCAGGTGACCTCCTCCCAAACTCCACAGAGAGAGAGGTGACGATATCAGGGAGCCAGGACGCCATCATCCAGTGTGTCAAACTCATCTGCACGGTCATCCTAGAGGTACGTATACATGGGGGGGCGGCCTGGGAGGGTGTATGTGTGTGTGTGATCTTCATCGCATCAGGCTCACAGAAGAATCTGAGCAGAAGAAAAAAAAATCAAATGAAATTCCTTGAATTTCTGAAGTTGTCATTTAAGTGTCTGAGAGTTTGAAGATGTCAAAGGGTCATTCATGACATGTTCATAAATATAGATTTGATTTTAATTTGTGCATATGAGCAAAATAAAACCTGTTCTCAGATCCAGAAACAAAAAGCAAAGTCAGTTATTTCCACATGGAGCAGTTACAGAGCAGCATGATGACTCATTAGGAGTCTTTGTGTTTGTGTCAGTCCAGTATTCGCTCTCTTTTTGCTCTGTTTTTGGTCTCCACCAGCTCCTGACGGAAATATCTCTCTGTAGCTGCTAAATGCTCCTCTGTGTTCACCAGCTCGATTCTAACTGTGTCTGTGTCTGTCTGCTGGTTTATGTTGAGCAGGTAGAGTGTACGGGTGTAAATCACTAGTTTAATCATGGTACAATATTAAACTGATGCTTTGGACATTAAGATATTTGCTGACATCACTAAGTCTGCCACAATACAATTGTGATTCAATTTTGCGACCAGTATGAGACAATATGATTTGACCGTTTATCACAGTCTGTTACAGAAGAAGCTGCCAACACTGTATTTTTTTGTCTTTTGGCCATAATTATAAAAAAACATAAATAATGTTAATAATTGTAGCTGGTTATGTGCAGTAAAGTTTACTTTAAATTGAGTCCACTAACACAAATTAAACAGATTAGCAACAAGAACATTTAACAAACGTATAGAAATCAGCTCAATAATAACTGTCAGGGGTCACAGACAAAACCAGTTTTTGGGTCTTCTGTATGTATGTACCTGCGCCACATCCTGGTAATGTGACGTCTCAGGAATGCCTCAGGGTAATTTCTTCTTATTTGGCACAAATGTCAACTTGGACTCAACAATGAAACGATTGGTCTTTGGTGGTCAAAGGTCAGTGTGACCTTGTCTGTCTCATTCTCGTGAGCAGGATATCTCAAGAACACGTTGAGGGAATTTCTTAAAATTTGGCACAAAGGTTGACTTGGACTAGAGGACGCACTGGTTAGACTTTAGAGGTCAGTGGTCAAAAGTTAAGGTCGCTGTGACCTTGTATGTATCTCAATTTGGTGAACGCAGTATCAAAAGAACTAACCTGGAACCTTGCTCTGCACGGGGATCTGGCCCCGCCGAGCAGAGCCCTGTGAATCACCATCTGATCAATCAGATCAGTCTATCTGACAGAGGCGGGCTCTGGGCGGGCGTAACATGATGAAGACAGCGCTGCGTGGTAGGAATCGAAAAGCAAACAGCCAAGATGGCAGCTGCTGAAGGACCGCGTCCATTCAGTTTAGCTTTGGAAGAAACATTAAGTCAGCTACACTTATCTTTCTCCTTGAGAGGAACAGAAGACTACCCTAGAAGCCTTCGCTTCCAGGAAGGACGTTTTTGACGTTTTGCCGACGGGATACGGCAAAAGCATAATATATCAGTTAGCCCCACTGGTCGGCAAACACATGGGGCTTAGTGCAATGAATACGTCACCTTGTTTTTTGCTCTGATTGGCTATCGTGCTATCCAATTGCGTGCGGCGGCATTTAATATGCCTCAGTTAGTGCCGCCCCTTGGGTAGGAAGGGTGTGTCGGTGAGGGCCAGACTCAAAATCTTTCTAGATTTGAGTCTAGACATTTCCAGGCTACCGAAGAACAGCTTGAAGGAATTTCTTCAAATGTTTCACAAAGTTCTCTTGAACTTGACAAGCTCATGACCTGATTAGATTTTTGGTAGTTAAAGGTTATGGGCAGTGTGACCTTGCATCTGTCTCATTCTTGTGAACACGATATCTCAGGAACACCTGAAGGGTATTTCTTTAAATTTGAGAGGAACGTCCACTTGGACTGAAGAATAAACTGATTGTTGGGGAAGATTCTTAGTCATCCAGGTCATGGAAATCTTAAGTGCTGTACCATAGGCAACTGGACTTGCTTGAGTTTGTTTAAGATGTTTTACGTCTCATCCAAGAGGCTTCTTCAGTTCCACCAACTCAATAAACTGATCAGAATTTTGTGGTCAAAGGTCACTGTGACATCACAAAACATGTTTTTGGCCATCACTCAAGAATTCATACGCTAATTATTAATCATGACAAAACTTCACACAAATGTCTAACACGATAAAATAATGAAGTGACTACACTGTATATCAAATATGATACCCCCAGCACCTTCACTCTGTTCCAACCTCACTTTTGCCCTTATTTATTCAACACATCTGACATTAAGTTACAGGGTTAAATCAACAAAGTCTTGGATCATTATATCACTGTTAAAGACAGTCGTGCAAAACCCTGTGAGTCTTCATTCGTCAGTGATGCATTTTTTTATGATCACATCCAATGACAAACAGACACAAAGCTTTTCTCTGTGATGCAACTTGATGCTAATTTAAAGACAACACAGTGAGCAGAGCTGCAGAGGTTATTCTTAATCATTCATATTTTATCCCCCAAAAACCATCACTTTGCTCTGTGATGATGTCTACCTGTCTGCTCTCAATTAACATCACATAAAAGTGTTTTTAGAGAGATACTGTCCACCTCTCCAATAATCTTACAAAATGAAAACACTGAAATCTATAATTTATGATTGTATTATAATTAATCAGAGGCAGCAGTCATTACAATGAGCTATGTCTCGGAGATTAGAGGCAGAAACAGTGAAATCAAAGGCTGTGGGAGCTCATTGGTATTCCAGGCACCTTAATCTGGGATAAGAAAAGAAATAAAAATGCTGACCTTAGCTATACTCGTTCACTTTCAAGTGCTGCTGCAATCAAAGAGTTTACATCCTTCCATTCACACTTTCTGTTTGATCTTAAATAAGAAATCTTTTGATCTACTTTGGCCCTCCGATGGACGCTTGTCTCCCTGCTTTCCACCCAGTGCATGCTGGGATAGGAAACGCACTGACCTGAGATCAACTAAATGAATGAAAAATGCATCTTTCTGTGTCCACATGTCGTCAGCTCACCTCCAGGGTTGGTCCTCACAAAGACAGAAATACAGTTCTCTGACTTTATCACTTTATAGAGCAGTTTCATGTCCTTACAAAGAATCAGAGCTCTGCAAAGAGAGACAGTGGAAAAGCAAAGGCTCTTGATACACTGACAGGACATTGCATTGACTGCTACTCCATGGAGTTAACACAAACAATAACCCCTACATACCCGTTAACAAACTTAACACTGCAAACAAGCCATAATTTCCCTCATTTCAAGCTCATGAACAGTTCAGACAAACAGCAACAATCCAGCAGCAGATCAGCTTTTAAAATAAGAGTGACACGAGTGAAACAAGAAGTCTTTTCGCTACTTATAGGAAGTCTGTTTGATGTCTTGCTGTTGCATCAAACACACGTGGAAAAAACAGCTGTTGTGTGAAACATCAGCTGACAGTGAAGCATCAACATCAGTGAATGCTGATGAGACAAGGTGAGATAAAAAAAAACAGCAGAAAATAAAGAATAAAATGAAGAGCATGGCTTATTTCCAGCTGCGGAAACACTGAAGGCTTTGTAATGACATGAGGAAAGTTATCAAACTAAAAATAGAAACATGGATGATGGGAGCTGGCCATGAACAAATATCTCTATCACCACTAAATACTGAACATGTGGCCCACATAGATCTGGATCTATGTGACCGTTTCAAACTTGACAACACTCTGAATGGGTCCCTTTGTATTTCCTGCTGGAATGATTCACAGTTTCTGCTTCTGCAACTGGGTTGGGGGAGAGTTACTGCCCCAAGTGAGGGAGTTCAAGTATCTGCGGGTCTTGTTTTTGAATGGGGGTAAAATGGAGCGTGAGATGGATCAGAGGTTTGGCGCAACATCTGCAGTGATGTGCCAGACCGTCCTGGTGAAGAAGGAGCTGAGCCAGAAGACAAAGCTTTTGATTTACTGGTCCATCTGCGTCCCAACCCTCATCTATGGTCATGAGCTCTGGGTAGTGACCGAAAGAATGAGATTGCGGATACAAGCGACCGAAATGAGTTTCCTCTGTAGGGTGTCTGGGCTCAGCCTTAGAGATAGGGGGAGGAGCTCAGACATCTGGAGGGAGCTCGGAGTAGAGCCGCTGCTCCTTCGCGTAGAAAGGTGTCAGTTGAGGTGGTTCAACATCTGATCAGGATCCTCCTGGGCTCCTCTCGTTGGAGGTGTTCCAGGCATGTCCCACTGGTAGGAGGCCCCGGGGCAGACCCAGAACACACTGGAGGGATTATATATCTCATCTGGTCTGGGAACACCTCGGGGTCCCCCAGGAGGAGCTGGAAAGCGTTGCTGGGGAGAGGGACGTCTGGGGTGCTTTGCTCAGCCAGGGTTCGAACTGCTCATCTTTTGATTAGTGGACGACCTGCTCTACCTGCCACAGCCGCCCCAGGGACATCCTGTCTTGTAGCATTTAGTTTTAAATGAAAAGGTCCAGCTCCAGGCGTCAGGTGTGTGATGCCGAAATCACTGACAAAACATATCTGACGACTTCGGAATGAGCTGAACGAGCAGTGTTAGCTAACTAGGTTAAATAACACAGCGCCACAGCTAGAAACAAAAACATATTGACATTGGTTGTCACTTCTCAGCTTCATTGGGGGACAGAAAATGGTTGTGGCCAGCTGTGCTTTGACTTGCAGCGTGTCATATCCGTCCACAGCGACAAGTGTCAGGCGTCAGTTTGTAGTTTTGTCACTAGATTTCATTAAAAATGTCTTGTAGCCTGTTGCTGTGTCGCTCATAGTGTGAACACAACAAAACCCTTACGTCAAATTAAATTGAGATATCTTTCGCCATAAGCAGGTGACATCCACCCAGGGTTCTAAATAAAAAGTTTATTTGGCTCAGCTGTTGCAGAGCTGCATTTTCTCCGTCACGAGCGATTTAATTGCACTGAAGCTTCTTATCGTAAAGTCTGATGCAGTCTGTGTTTGTAGGATTGGTTTTTCTTTTTTGGTTAAATGTGTTTTTATGTGTCTGTCAGACAGAGTACGTCTGTGTCTGCAGGGACAGAACGTGTTCGTCTCAGCATCTCACACAAAGTCAGTCAGATTTAATAAGCTTATTGTCCCAAAACTTCTCTAGTCTCACAGAATGTTTCTCACTGAACTGTAGGAGGTTTTTCCTCTGTTGATAAAGCTGGAAACACCTTAAATCCCGGGGCTGTATTCACAAACATTCTGAGAATTCTTCTAACGCAGCCTGGAAATTTCTAGCAAGGAGTCCTAGCTTAGGAGTGATTTGGGACAGTTTTCTAGTTGACCCCGTTGCTGGGAATGATGCATTCTTTTAACAGATGTGATTGATGTCACAGACAGGCCCTTTTGTCAGTCTGTCCCTAATAAGATCGACCACAAATGTCATCCCTGCACGATCTAATCTGTGGCATTTTATTAACTCACTGTCATCCAGTGTTTGGAGAATATTTCTCTGACCTCTTTGTCTTTCTGACATTTGTTATGGTTAAAAGGTTTTTCACCTCAGGAGTTCTCTTAAGGTCTGAGATGCTCTGTGAGTAAGTGTTATCTTTACCACGACCTAGTCTTAACTTTAAGGGGAAACTCTTTGTGCTAGAAAGCTTTGTGAATACGTTTCCTGGTCCTCTAAGAACAAGATATGAGACATAACTCACACTGATTTACCACTCTGTGATGCTCGATAAACATTTACCTGTTTTCATTCTTTTTGTTTCTTCTTCCCTTCTCAACTCTTCTTCATCTCTCCTCCTCTTTAGTCTCCACCAAAGGGAGCAACTATTCCGTACCGACCCAGCCCGACCCCAGGAACTGTGCTGCTGGCAGGAAACCAGGTGAGAGCATGAAGGGTGACTAAGTTCCAGGAAATCATTGAGCAACATCAGCGCCACCAGATAAACTAAACATAAAACATCACAGAAGCTAAATCAGCCACAAGACGACAGACAAATGATGGATGGAGGAAACATGCAGGAAGCTGAGAGGTATCCAGTGATTAACAGCAAGAGGGGAGGTAAGAGAGTGTCATAGTGAATTAGAAGACTAAAGAGAAAGATGGATGGAGGCATGAAAATCAGGTTTATAGACAATGGTAGGAGAGGGAGGGATGGAGGCACGGGTGGACGGATTAATGGGTCGGATAGATGGATAGATGGAGGGGAGGATTGAGGTAGAGATGGAGGAATGGATGGATGAATGAGCTGATTCATAATTTATCTTCAGAGAATTTGCCTTAGTTTGCAATTTGAATGTTACAGAAGACACACACACTTGTTAAACGTCCATTTGATAGGTCATGCATAGTGAGTGGCAGCTCCTGTCACCACCCATCCAGCAGGAACAAATGAAGCATTTTTCATGTTTATTCATCACAGATCAGGACTGTTCACCAGACAGATGTGTGTGTGTGGATGGTAGAGAGGTAATATTTGTGTGTGTGTGTGTGTGTGTTGACTAGCTATAATGATATGATCATCAGCAGCATGAATTTGCAGCATTAGCACCGTCTTCTCAACGTAGAGCTGTGTCCACAACAGAGCGTTCATTTTGTTGATTCTGTTTGGACAATAAATTTAAAAACATTTACCATAGTTTAAAGTTTAATCTATGATTCACTAGGGGTGGGGAAAAAATCGATTTTTAGATGCATCGAGATTCTGTCTTGAATGATGTGAGCATCGATGTGGAAAACTCATAATCGATTTTAATTTTATTTTTATATTTATTTTTCAAATTACCGTAACACCTTGACAGCTTTCCAGTGATATACGGTACATTACGGTAGTGACGTCATTACCTGTGGAGGAGGGGAGGGAAGTGAGCACAGCGGGAGGAGAGTGACAGCTGACGAGGAGAGTGCAAGTTGGAGTGATTTAGCGGATTTAGTCTGAATCTTGAGATGAAACTGTTAATTAGTTTTAGTCATTTTAATCCTTTGTAGGTTTTCTTTATGTCTTTAATTTTTAAACTAATCCAGTGAGGTATAACTCATGGATCATAAATCAGAATCAAGGTGACAGGTTGTATAAAATAATGTGTGTGTGTCATGTCTCCAGCAGTGTGTGACAGGTTTAAGGTCTGATTTACGAGCACACACTTGCTGATCATCATTTGAAAAGCTCAACATCTCTCTATTTATGCTCTCAACAAATAACTAATGTGAGCCAACTAGGATTTGTCCCCAGGTTCGTTGTAAACTCTGACTTATCCATGTGACTGTTAAGAAGCAGAAACATAACTTGTTTCTTCATGTGCAACATGTTAGTCTGGAGGTTTAAACTGGTGTCCTCTCACAGAGTTGGTGATTCAAACTAAACCGTTTTGTAACATGTTTTTGCCTCCACACCAGAGACAGCTGTAGCCAGAGACATTATGTTTTCAGGTTGTCCGTCCATTCGTACATACGTCTCATTCATGTGAACATATCTCAAGAACACCTTGAGGCAATTGTTAGTCCTTCTCTCAGTACTTACTGACTTCTCTTCCTGTCTGTGGCTCTCAGCTCCTCTGGAGATCTTTAAACACAAATTTATAGTTTTTTCACAAAACAGCTGCTCACTGACAAACAGGAGGAAGAAGTGGCTTTACTTCTCTGCCCTCTCACCTCTTCCGTCATGATGCTTACCCAAGCTGTTCTCCAGTATAATCACATCAAGTATTTCTGATGGTTACAGTGCGTACTGGGGCTGTTCAGAGCTGGAGCTAATTATGCTAATAACTGATTTTAATAGATTACCATATGGCGTTGATTCAGGCAATTAGATCATGTGATTGGAGTAATATAGTCAAGACTGGAAAAGAAAATGAAAATTACATTTTATTTACATCAATTTGCAACCAAATGTTATTATGCAAAATGGTGGCCAGATTTCCCAGAAGATCCCGACGGCTTCGGGAAACCGTTCAGACCTTTAACTTCTCTCTGGAGCCCTCTGATATTAATGATGTAAACACTCATCACAGTAGCAAGTTTTTCTCTATTAGAAAATTAGAAACTTTGATAAACATGTCCATAAGTTATATTTTACCAATAACCCAATGAAAACACAGACATGAAGCAGTTTTTAACCATGTGGCTTTTAGGAACAGACAGTGTCCCACAATGCACAGCAGGGTTGGTTGAGTTTGTTAAACACAGGCTAGTGTTTTGGTATCTAAAGTCAGATGGACAGGACTTAACCAGCAGACTTCACTACAAGTTGATTAGCTGTTGTTTGACCAGCTGAGTGTCAGGTGACGCCATCAGCCGGCTTGAGTCAAGCTCAGACTGGACAGTTCACACCGCTGACACTGATGTGTGCAGATTGTACGATGGCTGTTTATTGGGGAAAAAAAAAGTTTTTACTGACACAATTCTCGGTCATTATCTGAATCTCTTACCAAGGAATTTTAAGCACAAGGGACTCTTAATGAATCTTCTTTTTTCTGACCTCCGGTGGTTTCACTTCTCCGGCTGCAGTGATGTACAGGTGCACCTCAGGGCACCTGTACATCACTGTTGGTCGTGGTCACATGTTCAGCTCAACACACTGAAACAGAGTTGAGATTTTCAACCAGAGAGGAGAGCAAAAATCTTTTCAGCCCTGTGTGAAGTTTCTCTTTCAGCTCAACAGGAGCTGTGCCACATATTGATATTCTTCTTCACCTGAGTTGAAGCGGTGTGAGAGAGTTAAATTGGGACGATCCAAATGAGCTGACCTGGTTTAGCCCCAATTAAACGTATTGCGAAACCAAAGAAAATCCTGCATCTTGAACGATTTCTCCCTGTAGGTTTTTCAAAGTACCTTGAGCTCTGAAAAGTTTTCAGGGACGGAAACTCTGATGCTTAATTGGTTGAATCTTGCTGTGTGCACTCAGCCTCGGCGGTGCATCGGAGCTCAGCTGTATGCAGGTTGTCATTTGGTCAGTTTGAGCTACGGATGATTTTCCCTGAGAGAGAGGCACAACTGAGATCTGTCTGTACTTGGTCACACATCATTGGACTGTGACAGAGATTGCCCGTGGATGTGTTGTCTGTGGCATTTGGTTTTCGTGGATGAGCACTGTGAGGTGTCACTGTAGTCATCAGTGGGAATAAATGTCCTAAATATTAGGAACGTGTAAAAATGGAGCTTCAGCCTCAGAGCTCCAAAATCATCCTCACGTCTCCTCATCTTAAAGTCAATATTACACCAAAGAGGATTCAATAAAACAAGGTCACTTTTTTCCTGTTCCCAAGATGGCGGCTGTGTCGGAGACTCTGCTTCACCCTCAGAAAGTACTCAGAAAGGTTTTTCTGCCACCACACCTTTATCAGTTCCTGTGTGACGACTACGTTTCCCCTCAGGGATCAATAAACTGTTCATTCAGTTCTTTTTCCATTCTCGCTCATCTTCTCATCTGCCAATAAAGAGGAAACTAAATTAACGTCTTATCTTTTTTGGATTATTGGGTTTGGTTTATGCGGCCTCATAATACTAAGAAGATGTAACAGCAGCAAAACTGGGAAAAAAAATGTCAATAAAGGGATGAAATAATTGGTTTATTACTCAGTGTCCAACATAACATTTTTTATCCCCACGGATCAGAGTTTTACTGGCCTGGCAGCCAAAAAATGAAAATAACTCTTTTTTTCCAAAACTTTGATGATTTATTATAAATAATATTTACAATAGTGATGTTTACTTTGACTCTGGTTGTTTTCTTTTAGTTATTGAAATGTAATGCTGAATACAAAACTGTACAAAACATAGCACAGTTGCTGTTTTCCATGTTTTCATTTCATTTTAAATGTTATTTATATTTATTTCAGACATGAAATATTAAGAAACTTGTGCTCTATTCTATATAAGTAAGGGATAATGCCCAGCGAGGTGTCCATCGTCCACCTCAGGCATTAAAAAGTGATGAGGTTAAGTGAAGTGAAGGGCATTATCCCGCTTGTACCATGGCCACATACCAAAGAAATAAAAAGTAAGAATATTCATTCACACCAGGAGCTGTAATCATAAAGTCAGATAGACTGACAGGTTTCTCATTGATTGGACAGTTTTGGTGGTATAATCCCACATCATCAGCAGTGATGCTGTTCTCATTCACTGTTCGTATGTATACCTACGAAAAGTAATTCATTATAATTTGCAAGTAACTGATTCAGTCATGAGTTGAAGGAATGTGATCATGTGACCTCTGCACTGTAGGCTCATGCATTATGTGACAGGAGCAAAGGAGGAAGTCAGGTCACATGGTATGAAGAGCGACAAATCTGTGTGAGGAGGAGGTCAAGGGCAAAGGACGGGTCAAACAAACACAGGACTTTCACTAAGGGGACCGCTGTTTGTGTCCCTTGTAACACTTCGCAGAGTAACTTAAAGTTATGTACATCTGTCACATCATGTCACATATATATCGCTACAGCGCCTTACCACAAATTTTCCTAAATCCTGAGATGCTGAGTCGTAAGAAACGAAGATACGAACTGTTGTAAGAAGAAACGTTGCAGTGGCAAATGGACCTACAGAGGAAAATCAGATTCTGGTGGCTGACAGCAGGTCACGCAGCACTTTACTGAGTCCGACGGGTTTATTTATTTCTCTCTTCTCACCATAAAATAACTCATTATGAGTTTCATTAGTTACGTCTGCAACAAGACCTCATTGTATTTAAAATATTGACAGGTCATAATATTGAGTAGTAGTCTGGCTTACTGTGTGGTCTCTCGACACACCTCTGGTCTAACTCCTTTAACTTGACCAGAGAAAATATACACACTCACATATGGATGTGTATGCATGTTTCCATGGTTACAAAATGAGGTTTCATATCATGGAAGTCATTTTCTTGAAGCTGTATACTATGCAGGAATTGTCAGAAAAGCCAGGCAGAGGGACGATAAAATCCTCTGATTGATCTGCTTCACTTTCACACCACAAAACAAACCACATCAGAGTTCGCTCGAAGGCGATCTCAGTCCAGCTGTTGGGTCGTTGAAGGCTGGTGTAGACTAAACAAGCAGACAGAGTCCGCCTGAAAAGGAGGAACTCTGGTGCTGTTTGTTCGTGGTGTGAAATCAAACCAGATCAGCTGCAGTATTTAATGACAGCACAGCAGATATGTGACTGATTTTAGCATCATTTTAAACTCTTAAATCCATCCTCTGCTGGTAAGTCTCAAGGAAGCAGTTGTGTATATCTTTGTGCACATCACACAGGAGCACGTAAAAACTGTCGTCACTGAGTTACTGGCCAGTCTGTGTAACATCTTCCAGATCAAAAGATCCAAACTGCAGGTGTGAAAGTGCCCTGAAGGCTCATGAATCCAGAGTTTGTACAGTGCTGTGGTTTATGCGTTTGTTCTGCAGTGACATCATGGTTGTGAAAGTTTGATCAGATCGGAGGTCTAACTGTCGTGTTGACTCTGCTTGTGTCTCTCTGTGGCGGCTGAAGGTGTTCGAGGCGTCAGACTTTGGCTCTCACCCTCTGTTCTCTGTGGCGCAGGGAGGAGTGGACCTGCAGCAAGTGAGTACTCACTTCATTTTTATATTTACCAACAGGTTGCATTGACACAGGCTTTGAAATATATCAGACCATGTAAAATTCATCCTGTGGTGCTTCTAGAGTGTGAAAGATCATCAACACAGGACCTAAAGTATCATTCTCAGCACAGCTCCATACTGAGTTTTGTTTCACTGATCAATAAAGTCATGTTTAATTTTGGAAGACATCTCTTCACACGGGGCTCTGAGCTGTGCAGGTAAACAGCCACCTGCCCTGAGTCAGAGACAAACTTCAGTCACCCTGCATCTTAAGAACAGATGGTCAGAGAGGTCAAGGATCGCAGATTAACTCTCCTAAGACTCTTCTTCATGTGAAAATGATTTATAAAAAGGCAGGGACGTGGTGAACAAGGTGAAGATGAAGGCCCTGGAGCTGAGGATGAAAACAGAGGTGGAAGGAAACAGGCAAAGGAAGAAAGGTGACAGAAAGAGAGAAGGACAGGGGAAGATAAAAGAAGAAAACACTGGAGAAAAGAAGTGAAAACAGAGAAACAGGTTGTCAAATATCTTGTGTTGAATCACTTTAATTCTGCCTGGAGTTTAACAGACGTCTGTTAACAGCAGAGTGAAGTCAGCCGTCTCACACTCGATGCCTCCACCTACCAGGAAACACATCTGTCAAGGATTATTGCCATTTCTCAGATCAGTGATGCCTGACTGATCTGAGAGCAGTCTGAAGACCAAATGAAAATGGAGAAGATTCATTTCTTCTTCTGAAGCAGCCAAACAAGCCTCTCCTGTAATTGCAAAGATGAATTGGGCAATTTTCATGTCAATTTTATTTGCTCAAATTAAAGTTGTAAGAGGAAGCGACAATCAAGCACATGGTGCTCAGACAGAAACTGTTTGCAGACAGTCTTAATGATTCCAATAAAGTGCAATAACGGGGGCCAGAGAAAAAGTAAAACCAGTTCCTTTGCCATCTCTCGTTGTAATTAGAGAATGTTGTAATGCAGTATAATCATTTTAATGCTAGTTTTACTTTGTTAATAAGATTCTTGTTGGAATACAAATACCACTTTTTCTGCCAAGCTCGCCAAAACTCCTGAAGAAGAACACTGGCTGATCTGAACACAGTCACAGTCTTCAGGGTGGCTGATATCAAAATATTATTGGAGGTGACCCAAGTTAAAAACTTACTGCAGATGGTAGCCTAGCTGCTGCTACTGTTAGCGTCATGTCATGTAGTGACAGCAGATTTCTTCTTCTTCTGTGGCATCAAACACAACACATGGATTCAGAGTGTCACTGTGTATTTAGAGATGATGAACACTGGTATTGACTACACCATGATAAACAGCAGGGCTACGACTAAAGTGGGATTTATACTTCTGCGTTTAATTGATGACATACCTACAGAATAGGCTCTGTGTCAACGCGTAGTTTATGCCGTAGTCTGACGTGCACCTCCGCAGAAATGTGACTCCACAGTGTCACAGTGACGCAGACCTCCTGTCTGTCTCTGTAAGCTGAAACCATTTCCCTCAGTGGAAACAAAGCTTTGATTTACTTTAATTTCACAGATAAGAAACAATAAATTGTGAAGACAATAAAGCCTCCACTCAAATAGCATTTTAAGTCTTGTGTGTGATTTATCCTGGCTTCATATGAGCAGAGGAAATCTCTACTAGCCGCTAGGCTAATTAATACAATGTAAAATGCCATAGGCTTGTGCTAATAACGTTAGCATGTTGTATTTGTTTGGAAAACATGTTTAGTATCAGACAGTTGTTTTGTCAGTGAACCTTGTGAGTTGTAATGGAGCTGAATTTTGTATCGTTGCCTTTGTTAAATGTGGCTGTTGTCCCTGGTTTAATATGAGGAGAGGAAAAGTCAGTCATAAGAGTTTACATTTATATGGATGCAGCGTTGTAGACAGTGGTGGTCTTTGCAGCCATTACATACATCCCGATCTGGAAATCCATCGGTAAAAAAAATAAATATATAAATAATTTTTTTTTTCTTCCTTTACCTCTGGAGGCACAGCCCAGAGTTTTTCGACTAACGGAAGTGCAGGGGCCTCGGGGATCGCTCACCCCCTTCACTTCCGGCGGTGCCCCCAGTGTTACACTCCTATCTGCAACTTGAACCAAACGGCAGTAAAAACGTTGCCGCTAATGCCCTTTTTTTCCTGTCGTGAGGAGTGGAAGATGTGCTGGTGGATGCACAATTTTTGTAAGTTGTGCTGTTGTCCATGTTTTTCACGTTGATGAGACAGCGTTTTGGGTGGAGTGGTCGCCATGGACACGGAGCTTGCTGTTTCTGTAGGTACACATTTCCTGGGGACACCTGCACGTCTCGGCCACGCCCCCTCCATTGTGATTCGCTAAAGCACAGCATCGTTCAACCTCAATGCCCCCTCTACAATGTAAATTGCAGAATCTGTCTTGAGAGATTACATACATCCTGACATGTGGACAGAGAATTCAGCACACTATATTACAGATTTGTTCTGTTCCACTATCATTTAGATTTCTTCTTCTTCTCCTGCAGTCATATCTCATTTGAACTACGCAACACTGCCTCCATGATCGCTGGTGTTACTGCTTCGTTTCATCTGTCTCAGTAAGCGCTCAGGAAATGTGCACAAACATGGATGAAATGAATGCAGAGTACAAACAGGAGACTCCTTCTGTCTCTGTCTCTAATGTTGAGCATAAATGAGTCCTGAAAACTAAAATAGCAACAGCTACGGCTATACTCTGTGATCTGGGGTTACCCCATGGTTATGTTGCCTGACCAGTTGTCACTGTGGTAGCAACTTGTCAACAAGTGGCACCCACCTGTAAAGCAGAGTGGACACACCCTTAATTATGTTTAACTTTGAGCCTGAAGAAAATGTATACAGGTGTGTTATATTAAAATTCAGCCCCTGTACAGTTAAATTAGCCACAGAAACCAAAACTGTTTTTTGTACCAGGCTGTAAACATGTTTATTTCTACTGTAAAGTTGGACATTTTAACATTTTAATGGGGGTCTGAGGGGACTGATTGGCTCTTCGGGCCAACCTCAAGTGGACATTACAGGAACTGCAGTTTTTTGCTTATTTTTAACCCCTGCAGGTTGCCTCTGGCATCAGAGCAGCTAGCTGAGCTACAACATGTGTAAATGTGCTTCTGGTGATTTTTAAAAGCTCCACTGGACTTCCTGTCTTTCCTGCAGAGACACAGAGAGTCCGACAGTAGCTGCTCACAGCTGGTTAGCTCTGACTACCTGCACAGCAGGAGTGCATGTCACTGTTCACGCTTCTGTGTCCGGTGACATGGAAGCATGTCATCCCTCAACCAACAGCGAGTCCTTTGAAGCATGTATTTGAATTTGTTGGGGGGGAATATATTGGAGGGTCCTCGCAAAATTTGAGGATGTGTTTTGTTTTTTTTTTAATTTTTTTTGTCTGCATCGCACCTGCGCAAAGAAACAAGCAGATGTGTTGCTATATATCTCTGCAGAGTTTAGCTGGAGCTGTTTCAGGACAGTGTGATGAAGTGTCTGTGTGCTGGCACTACATCACACTGTGGGTCAGGTTCATGCAGTTATGTTAAATCTACTTTTGTGGCTTTGAGGCATTTTATCCCTGCAGAAACACATTTAAAAAAGTTTTTATACAAAAACATGATGCCAGTCTTTGAAAATGTGGCGACAAAACGACAACCTGCTTGTCAAATGTTCTCTGACTTCTTTATGTGAAACACAGTCGCTTGCACAACATGAGAATCTTTAAATGTCATCTTTACTTGTGTGTTGCCCAGTAATCATACAGTTAGACTAATCATCTACTGACTACTTTTGCATATCTGAATGAAACCTGTAATTTACTCAGCAGTTCAAGCTAATTTGTGGGGATGAATTTAATTTACTGTTTTGCTGCTGAATGTCTCCCAGTGAATAGTTCACTGCTGCACAAATAGCTTTCATGTCAAGGGCAAGGCAGGCTGTTTGGATTAGAGCATCCATAACTGAATGGTCTGAGGTCAGTTTCCAACAGCTAGTGTGTCACCATCATTAGCTAAGTGTCCTTCAACCAGCCACTGAACCCACATTCATTGCCTACACATTTATTTCATGTCAGCGGCGCGTGCGGCCTCGGGCCAAATTCCTTCTGTGTTTAAATACTTTTCATCTGCGTGCCTGCAGCCTGTTAGTGTGATCATGTGGAGGTGCTCCTGCAGCACTTCATGGCCTCACACAAAATGCAAATGTCCCTGTTGACATTCGTCCTCTCCGTTGTAACATTTAGTTTTTCCCGTCTTTGAAAATGATGTTATGATAATTTGTTAGCGCTAATATTATCTCTATCACAGCGAGGCTTATGGAGATAGATTTGTTTCATAATTATGTGTGTGAACAGATCACAACAGACAGTCTGTGTGTAAAAGTGTCATCTGTAAATATAAAACACCTTCCACAAATACAAAAAAGATTTGTAAACTCACAAAAATATTTTGCAAGTATAAAACGGATCTGCAAATACACAAACACATTCCTGTGAATACATTAAATTCATTTGTAATGAAAAGCATTTGTGAATATCTTCCTAACATTTACAACTTTCAAACAGGCATTTGTGAACTCAGTTCTTATTTGTGAACCGAAAAAACATTTGTGGATCTCAGTTCTATGCGTGTGGATTTGCTTTTTACACACACGGATTTTTGAGACAAACTTTCCGCTGGTCCGAACGAAAATGCACTGCTGGTATCACTTGGCCATTTCCGGATAGCACGTGATCACCCGGCAGATGACGTCATCTCCGCATGTCAAAGTAAGCCCACGCAGTGAACCGCACCATGTTTAGTTAGGTTACATCTTTTCAATTGAGGTTTCGTTAACTGTTGTGAGATATGACAAGTGGGGGCGTCGGTGGCTTAGTGGTAGAGCAGGCGCCCCATGTACAAGGCTGTTGCCACAGCGGCCCGGGTTCGAATCCAGCCTGTGGCCCTTTGCTGCATGTCATCCCCCCC